ATGGGTGAAGGTAAGAAAGGCTCACACTATATTCTCTATACATGTCTCCTTTAATTTCATTTGCAGACTTGTTGATACTTGACCTTAACTCATCTAGTAAAATAGATGATGTTAGAGAAGCTCTAGTCTTGTGTGAGACTACGAGGTTGTCTTGAGCATAATACGTATGTTAATTGATAAATGTTCTTGCACATAAGAACGCATCATCTTCCCCTACTAGCTTAAATGCAGAAATTTTCCATGGGCAACCCTTAGCCACACACTCTACAATGATTTTCTTCTTTTTATTCTTTAGGAAGTTATATGCAAACTTGTGGGCGAGGCTATATTTATGCAATGCTTGTCTGAATGCAACAGCATTAGAAATATCTGACCTACACTAATAAACAAATCCCTTCACTTTGCAGCATTCATCTCTGTCATGGGAATTTGAATACTCTACACAACTAAACTTTGTTCAGCATTAGCTGGTGTCACTATTTGAGGAGGAGACGATGAGCTTACACAGTCTAAATTAATGTCCCACTCACTTTGACACATCGATATTCCTTGCGTGTCTCCATAAATGTCACCTTCACTACATTCACAATCAATGCCATACACGTTATGCGCAATACTAAATTTCAACCAACTAAATTGTATATAATTTAACTTAAATGCTTACTCTTGAGAATAGTCAATTGGTGATGACTATGTTATGTCATTCTCCCTCCTACCTATATAAATGTGACCAGTGTTATCATTAAATTCAATCAGTTGAGCAACTCCAATGTCATCAATAAGATCTATTAATGTGGTTTTTTCAATATTCAATATGTACTTCAGGTCCATTGTCTTCATTCTAAGACACACATCTAATAATATTAATCTTCTAAGTGCATTATATGTCATCCCCTCTGTAATAATTCTAGCAACTATGTTACCTCACTCATATTTCATCTTCCCTTCACTTGTCATGACTTAATCACTTAATCTCCACCATGATGGAAAAAAAAATAATTTCTTCCCTTGAATACTTGCCATTGATCATTTGAGGTTGAAACCTTAAATTAATGTAAAAAGCTTACATGACATTAGTCATACAAAATTGACTATAATTCTACTTTAATAATTACAAATCATATATTAATACCAAAGAATTGCTATTCTAACAACACAAAAGTAAATAGTTCCAAACTTCCAAGGCTTCAAGAAAGCATATTCCAAAGAAACAGTCCATTATTTAACAACTAAACTTTCTATTTTAACAATATCATATTACAATTTTGACAACACAATATAAAATACATTTCAAAAGGGCACTTTGTAAAGGGCACATGTAACTCACATTTAATGAATCTAATACATTCAGATTTACTCAAACTTCCCAGCTGTTACTAAATGCTATGCGTTACCTACACACAACATGTAGCTTTACATACTGACAATGAAGAACGTAGGAGATAGGGTCGGAAACATAGTTGTATTAATTACCTCAACATAGAAGAAAGAGTTCGGCCATTCCGATGCACTCAACTCGCTTTACATATAGTTCGAACATTCTGCTACCTTCAACTCACTCTGCTAGCACTCTTCATGTCATGTAGTTTTCATGCTAGAACATTACCCATGACTAAGAATAATGAGAACATTTAAGGAGGTAATAATGTAACACAACAATGGATGATTTTACATTTTTTCATCTACAAGTTGTTGTACTTCACTTGCAAAGTTGGTTCAGAGGGAATGAAAATAGGAAAAAGCTTTGACTGAGATAGCTTTTAGCTGGGAACACATTTCCAACATTTTGAGGGGCATGCATTTCGGTCTTTTTCCTCATGAAATTAACATGTAAGAAGGACCAGAGGACTGCAATGATAATATGAAATCATTTGGTCCTTCTCTAATATAAATATTTTATGATGGTCTTTGGATGCTATTTTCCCAAAGGAAAAAAGACCAAAATTTGCTTACAGAAGCCATAACACAAATACAAATTAGACGAAAGCCATGACACAAATACAAATTAGGTGTGGAAAGGAAAATTATGCTGACTTCCTAGACTAAACTATAAGTCAAATCAAGCTTGATGAGATAACATGAATAAATTCAAAAAAATTTAGGGTCATACTTAAAAGTTTATATAATTTTCTTTACTTTAAATTTATTTAGGCTATCCAAATAAACTTGGAGAAAACTGAGTTAAGCCTGAATCTGAATAAACTTAGCCCAAATGCACAAATTCTTTTTTATTATTGATAAAATAATATAAAAATAAGATAAAAATTCAATTTTTTAAAAATTAAAATTAAAATTAAATAAAAATAAAGTAAAATAATATTTAATAATTTGAATATTCAAGTCAGCCCATAAGAGTGATCAAAGGTATGGTTTGGTTTGGTTTTGATCAAAACATAAACCAAACCAAACCAATTAGTTTGCACAAAAAATGAGACTTGATCAGTTTTTTTTTTTTTTTATTAAAGCTAGTTTGGTTTAGTCTTTAAGTGATTTGGTTTATATATAGATCAAGTTTAAGTATTTTTTTTAACTCTTTTTTTCCTTTGATATTTCAAAATCAAGTCACAGTCTCCACTTTATTATTTACGAATGGCAATGAATACCATATCAAAAATAAAAATATTTAAATTTTGTTATTAATAAACTCCAGAGTATATTTATTACAAGTAACGTTGACACGAGTTAAATTTCATTACAAATTATTTTAATAGCTATAATGAAAAGAAATTTGTTTTAAATCAATAAAAGGAAAACATGTTTTAATAGCATGTAATGAAGTATTTGACTCTCCTTAGTCATAATACACCTTTCCTTAGTCTGAACTATCTTTTATTCTAAAAGCAATTAGCAAAATTGATAAAGTAAAGTTATGAATTCTATTAAAGTATTTTGGGTTGGATTAAACTTCAGTTGAGATTAAAATTTAAAAATAACAAACACTAAATAGTCTAATATTAATGATAAAAAATACACTTAAAAATATTAAAAATGTATGATTCAGTTTGGTTAAAATTTTAAAGAAAAAAAATTAAAACTTGAACAAAACCATTCAGTTTTTTAATTTATAAAACCAAACTAAACTTTATTAATGATCAATTTTTTATTTCGATTTTGATCGGAATGGTTTGGTTTGATCGATTTGGCTCACCCTTCTTAGTCTAAAGAAGCCTAAAAACTTGAAAAGTTAAGACCTAACTTGATTATATAGGCTTTTTTATATGTTAGGATATTTTAAGCTCGGTCCAAATTAAATTCTCCCTGAATAAGACCAACTCGCTTGAATTATTAATTCTCTTTCTTAACTAAACTATTTCATAAATTACATGTTAATTTTTATTTTTTTAATATCTTGATCAATCCCTATTTCTTTTTAAGAGAAGGCCGTTGATGAGAGAGGTCATCCAACCGCTACTGCTACTTTCTTCTTGAAAACTTTTGAGTTTTGAATACGCTATTCGGTCAAAAAAAAAAAAATAGAAAACTGAAAATGGAAGTGTGAAGAACATAGCAAGAATTAAGATGCGATTGGTAAAGAAAATTTCCCCATTTTGCAGATAATGTGGCATTTAAAAATTGATCTTCTTTTATAATATAGGAGTATATAATTAAATAAATTAGCACAAATAATATTTGACTAAAACAATTAGATATTTTAAAAAGTTTGTAAGCATTCCAAAGGCATCAAAATATGATTTTGCCAACAAGAGGAATAAAAATATCTAAGATTTAGTTTTTATATACACATTAATTGAGAAATATCATCTAAGGACTCTAAAATATTTTAATATCAAAGAAAAACCTTAAAAATATAAAATACTACTACATTTCTTTAAGACCTATTTGAAAATAAGATTTAAAAAAGACTTAATTATCCATACAACATTTTACAAGTTCTGCTTTTGTATAAACACTAAAACATTCAGGTATAAATAAGAAATCATGCCTATAAATTTTTAACTTATTCATAAATAAATGTTCACTTGTTAATTATGTATAATAATTTGTTGAAAATTAAACAATTATTGTTTATAACAGAGACTTGTAAAATGCTACTAGAATAATTAGACCTTTTCTCTCAAAATCCTCTTTTCAAGTATGTATCAAGGGTGCATTGATATTTCACATTTTTATAGCCTTTATTTAATATTAAAACACTATTGGGGTCCTTAGATGATATTTTTGGTGTAGAATTTTATATTTAACCTTATATACTTAATATACTCTTAACTAATTAAGTTAAGACAAATAAATTTTAATGAGTTAATAATATTAATAATAATTTATTATAGAAAAAATAATCTATAAAAAAATTTCTGTCTAAATTTCATCTAAAACAATCATTTTAGATGAAGTTTTGCTTTTGTATAAACAATAAAACATTCGGCTATAAATAATAAATCATGCCTATAAGTTTTTTAACTTATTTATAAACAAATGTTTACTTATTAATTATGTATAATAATTTGTTGAAAATTAAACAATTATTATTTAAACCAGATTTGTAAAATACTATAAAAATAATTAGACCTTTTCTCTCAAAATCTTCTTTTCAAATATGTAACAAGGGTGTATTGATATTTCATATTTTTATAGTCTTTATTTAATATTAAAACACTATTGGTGTTCTTAGATGATATATTTTGTGTAAAATTTTATATTTAACCTTCTATGCTTAATATATTTTTAAATAATTAAGTTAAGACAAATAAATTTTAATGAGTTAATAATATTAATGATAATTTATCGTAGAAAAAAATAATCTATAAAAAAAATTTCTGTTATAATTTCATCTGAAACAATCACGTTAGATGGATAAGTATCTGGATGTACTATTTTTTTCCCTTATATTTATTTACGCATGATTAGAGAAAATTTAAGATTTAAGATTTAATATAAATCGCAATTAATAATACACCTTAATTTGATTGTTTATTATATAATATGAGTGTTTATATATTATTTTTATTTTTTATTGACCTAGAATTCCCTCACCGCGTCACTTTCTGCAGCTGTTGATCCCGTTCTACTTCTAGCTTCCGCCCTCCAGGCTGTTCTGAACTTTTCTCTATAAATTGAGGCATCCGAGACATTGTTCCTCACTTCTGCATTTCTCTCCATAATCATTTCTTCTTGAGCATTTCGTGATTGTTTTATCTCTCAGTAATGGCGAATGAGGTGGTTCTGTTGGATTTCTGGCTAAGCCCCTTTGGGATGAGGATTAGAATTGCACTTGCTGAGAAATGTATCCAGTACGAGCATAAAGATGAGGACTTGAGAAACAAGAGCCCTCTGCTTCTTCAAATGAACCCGATCCACAAGAAGATCCCGGTTCTCATTCACAATGGCAAACCCATCTGTGAGTCTCTTATCGCTGTTCAGTACATTGACGAGGTCTGGAACCACAAATCCCCTTTGCTTCCTTTGGATCCTTATCACAGAGCCCAAGCTCGATTCTGGGCTGACTTCGTTGACAAGAAGTTTGTTTCTCGGTTTCACCACTTTTCTAATTCTTTAACTTCTTTTAGATTGCAATAATTTCTGCCCCTTGTTCGAAATACAGATGAAATGTCTTCGTTGGTTTGCTTCTTGCTTGCTTGTCAGCTTTGATTTTGACAATTTTGACGGAATACTAGAAATGAATTTGGCTTTTTTTGCATGACTGGGTGATCAGTATATAAAATACTGATAATATATAATATTGGAGCCTCTGTTATCTTTTTTAAATATGGATATTATATAATATTGGAGCCTCCTTTATTGTCTTTATTTTTCTAAAGATTTTGCAAATTGTGTCGATTTCTCTTCTGTTTGAATGTTAATGATGGAAAGCCATACTTGCTGAGTCTCACCAAGTCATGTGGCTGATTTCTGGGTTTGGAAGTTCTGCTATTTACATTCCTTTGCAATATTTAATAGGGCAAGAAGAAAACGATTTGGGGAATTATTAACTTTTTTAAATACAAAAATGTTTTCAGTTCAGTACTAATAACTTGTGAACCACTGACTCTTTTCCCATCATTGTATTGTTTCTTTAGGAGAAAACTGAGTGTGACTGGTAATTTAGTTTACCGTGTCTAAGTTGTTAATTTGAAAGGGATTTATGACGTGGGAAGGAGAGTGTGGACAACCAAGGGAGAAGAGCAAGAAGCTGCAAAGGAGTTCATAGAGTGCCTGTAATTGTTGGAGGAACAGCTGGGAGACAAGCCATACTTTGGAGGGGACAACCTTGGATATGTGGATGTGGCACTCGTTCCATTCTACAGTTGGTTTGAAGCCTATGAGACATTTAGTAACCTTAAGATAGAGGCCGAGTGCCCCAAATTCATTGCCTGGGCAAAAAGATGCATGCAGAAAGAGAGTGTGTCCAAGGCTCTTCCTGATCAGCATAAGGTCTATGAGTATGTGCTTCAGAGGAGAAAGAGTTCGGGCATTGAGTAGAGTTTCATAGAAGACAAATGATCTTTCAGTAATCATTTGCTTTACCTTCTGAATAGTAATTATATAATAATGATATGGCACTTTGGTGGGCCATGCTACATGCATGTTTTCTTTCTCAGTGGGGTGTTTGTTGCTTTTTGATTGGTACTTGGCGTCTGTTATGTATGTCTCATCGTATCATGTGTTGTTGGTCGTTATTACAGTGCACTACCTTTTCCTGCATGTGTAACTAGACTCGGCTCATCTAAAGATTGCAAGTGCATCTATAACCTCTCTCTCTCTCTCTCTCTCGGACGAACAGTGCATCTATAATTTGTGTCGAAGCAAATTTCAGTGAACTTTTTTTTTTGTTTTTTTTTTTCTTTTGGGTCAAACAGAGAACCTTTTCTTGACAAGAAGAAACAGAATCTCCTGCTGTCAAATGGGCTAATGTTTTTGAAGTTAAATGTTGCCCTTCTATCAATAAATTTCTATTTCTCACGGCAAGGCACTGCGGTATCATGAACAAAGGATAATAGCAGCCCGGGCAACCGAATCAGCCCAGAATCAGAAATTGAGCAAATGAGTAATTAACTAAGTTGTTGCTCTATTTGCAACTGGGGAAAAAAAAAGAAGGTTTGTTGCTCTAAAATTATCTGGTACTTTTAGCTGTCATGACAAGATTGAAGGTGTGTCAACAACTAGGTTTCTATAGGATTCACATTTATTTGGATTCTTTAGATGCCATTAACATTATCTTGCGAGGTTATGTAGTTGACCACCCTTGGAGGGTTGAAATTAATGCTGCACATGACCTCATTTATTATGTTCAAGAGGTGGAGGTGCACCATGCTTATAGGGAAGTTTTACAATGTGCTGATTACCTTGCTAGAGATAGTCATGGATTAGGTCTTGGGATAAAATTTGTCCATGCAATTCCTGATGCCTTGCATACCATGTTGTGTGAAGATAGGTTCACATTTACCTATGATGTGTAATTTTTTGTAACTTAGCTTCAAGCTTTAAGCTTGCCATTTCCGTCCAAAAAAAAGAAAGGTGGGATGGAAGCAAGCTTCTTTTTCCTCGAACTTAGAAATTAATAAGATAGAAAGTAATAAATCAAAGTTATTTTCATAGAGAATCAGGTTAATAAATCAAAGTCATTTTCATAGAGAATCAAGTTAATTGATAATTTAACAATAAATTTTTTATTTTCGTTTAATTTGAGCAAAACAAAATTTGATTTGATTTCACAAATTAAGAAATTAAAATTATATAATGTATTAAAATGAAAGTTCTGACAATCACAAATAATTAAAGCAACCTAAGGTAGTTAATCCCTTCTTCAATTCATAGAGCATATAATTATCCAAATAAATTCACTTACTATTAATTTGTTAATTTAGAGCATTAATAGAAATAATTATTTTTGATTAATTACACCGCTCTCAAATTAATATACTATTCCTAATACAAATACCCTAGAGGCAAAAGGCACAAACTTACTTTAATATAATCGTATGTGTCCAATAGGTATATTCATATCCTATTAAAAAATTAAAATAAATTCTAATCTCACATTTCTCAATCTAATGGTCTAATTTAGATTTTTCTCTCCTAAGGCCCCTAAATTCACACTCAATATCGGCCAAGCACTAAGTAGACAAATAAGCACAAAATTAAATAAACAAAACTAATATTAAGCTCAAGTAAATGGTTCAAATATGCTCTAATCTAGAAATCAATTCATAAATTAAGAGAAAAATCAGCCATACATGGCTCTAATGACAGCAAAAATCAGCAATATGTGCAGTAAAGTGAAGAGAAGAAGGAGAAGAAAAGCTTAATTGGAGCAATCTTGAGTGAAACCTTTAATTTTTTACTAAACCCAAGATTTTTCAACCTCCCTTTGCCTCCTTTTCTTCTCCCTGAACGTTCTACAGCTGCTAGAAGTGAGGAATGATAAAAAAAAAAAAAGAGGTTCCCAAGATCTAACAATTAGCTAAAGATCAAAACCATACATTTTATTAAAATTGAGGTTTGTGGTATCGAAACGTGTTTTTGCTATAGCAAATAGGACTTGTATAAAATTCCTTTTTAGATTTACTTCCTTAGACTGGGGCTTCAAAATTTTCATCTTTAGATCCATAAATTGAGCTTTCCTACATGTATAAAAACCATAATTAATGCTAGAATTGATTAACTAATTTCTAATCATGTTGCCATACCCATTATCACACATAATCATCCACTCAATTATATTTTTGCTAATAAATTTAAATAAATGATTTCCAATTGTATGAAAAACACCAATGAATTTAATAAAATATTGAAAGTCATCAAACCCCCATACTTGAATATTTGATTGTCCTTAAGCAAAAGAAATTCATTATACATAAAAGGATAAAAGAAATTGTGAATGTTTCGAGGTCAATTTCAATTCAAACTTTTAAGAACTCAATTTAATTAGAAATCTTTCTTTCCTTCCAATAATAATAGCAGCAAGGCAATTAATTAAGCAAAGATAAATTCTAACTGGTTGTCCCTCACCAATCAAGTGTTTACACTCTATGCTTAAGGTGTCTAAATATTATGTTTCACTTAATTTTACCTATTGTAATCTATCTACCATATGCTCATTTGTCATCTTAGTCTCCACTAAATTATACCACTGCACACACAATCAAAAGGACTTTTCAAGGGTTAAAATGTTTTAGGTAGGATAATGAAATGAAATTATTCAATGATAACAAATGCAGCCTCTAATCAGTGCTAAGCATTTTAGATAAAGATTAAGAAAATTGAAGGAAAATTATATTACAAAATGACAAATGCACCACAACTATATATGGACAATATCCATCAAAGTCACACAATTTTTTTTTCTTCTCTTCTTCTTCTTTGATCACTATTTTTTTTTCAAACCGTCTTACTTTTCCTCTCTTGTACTTCCTTTTTTTTTTTAATTTCAATTCTAAATGCTAATTCCTCATTTTCTTTCTTAGATTTCAACACTTAGCACTTTTCTAAAGTGGTCAACAGGAAGAAAAGGAGTAGAAGAGTGAATAAATTGTAACAAAGGGCTCATGATTTTTTCAAATTTTAAAATAAGGATAAGGCTCAAATGGGTGAAACAAGGAATTTATATGAAAAGGGATAGTTATTTGGCCAAACTAGCTTTGAAAATAAATGCATAAATCATTGTTGTGCATGCAAATAGCTATTACAAGTCTCAATAAAGATTTAAAACAAGTTTTAGGGATTGAATCACAATAAATGTACTCCCTCTTAAAGAAAATAAATATTTAGGCTCAAAATTCTCACCTTTTTCGACAAACTATAATCAATTATTCAAACTTAATCCACTGCCTATTTACTGAAATTCTAGAAAGTAGGACTGACTTTTAATCAAACATAATTCTTTCAAGCTCAAAACAATCCAACCTTAGCCACATTCACAAGGAAAAAAAACAAACAAAATGTTTATGAGATTTTTAAAATTTTCAAATTTTTTTAATCATTTTTTTAAATTATGTACAAATATGTACAATCAGCTCCTATTAGAAAAAGAAAAAAATTAAGGACAAGAAAAATGAAAAATATGAAAGCAAGTACTCCCCCCTCACACTTAAATTAAATATTGTCCCTAATGTTTAAAGACCAAAAACAAGGAGAGAAGGATACTAAAACTCCTACGACCAATAGATATGGGAAGTTAACAAATAGAAAGACTCTAACAAAGAGATGAGAGTGACATATCCTTAAAAGAAATGGTACCTATTAATAATATCAAATAGAAAAGTAGATAAGTTGGAGACAAAAAAATTAGATGCATACTATCAAGTAGTAAGTTGTGATTATTAGTTACAATCCCAAGAGAATAAGAGCCAAATTGAATAATCAAAGAAAAAGAAAAAAAAAATCTAACAAGAAGAGAAAAGTTAGAGTTCTATCAGAATAGAAGCTCGAGTTTAGGAGAAGAGCTAATGATAGAGCTCGAAGCTCAAAGCCCAATTCATCAATTCTCTTCTACTCTTCTAATTATTTGTTGAATAGAGTTCAATTGCCGCTTCACCTATACAGATTAACATTCATTTGATGAAACTTGATTGGAATTCTCTAATGTTTGCCCTTTCTTAGCCATCCAATTATAAGTAACATGTCATCCATCAATAGATAACAAGGTAAGTGCCACCAAGTATTACAAAATAGGAGGGTTGACAAGTAAAGAAATAAGATAAGGGTAAACGTTTACGGTAAAATTGAAAATGAGAAAGGTGTAGGCAAAAGAAAAAAAAGAAAATATTTTTTATTTGAAATGTATGGAAAGAAAAAACACACACACAAACAAACCAACAAGTTTTTTTGTTAAGTAATTTTCAATTTTTTTAATTTCATCGTAAAAAAAAGACTAAATAATTTTGAAGCATTTTTTTTTCAATTTTTTAAATATGAAATTTTTGACAAATATTTACAAATTTATTATTATTATACTTTTATCAATCAAAAAGAAATTTTTTTAAATAAACAAAAACTTCGCTCCATTGAAACTAAGTTTGTTTCAGCAAAGGTGCTCTTTGAAAGTTTGGTGGAAAGTCACAGAAGCATGTTTTGCTAGGGAAAAACATGATTTCGTTATAGCAAAGGTGGTCTCTAGAATTTTGGTGGAAAACACCAAGAGACCTTTTACTAAAGAAAAATCTTCTTTCAATGGGGCGAACATAATAGAGAATAAAAACACACACAACCTAAGAAAACTATGCAAACAAAATAAACACTGATAAAGAAAATAGCCTAAACACTTCCCAATCAACAAAATCATTATGTCATACCCTATTCCACCTAATATTTAATTGATAACTTTCAATCCAAACACAAGACCTTGAGCATAACAATAGAAGCAATAAAGCACAAAGATAGAATACTTCCCCAAGATGTTGTTAGCTTGTTTCTTAATTCCAAAACTTGACTTTGAGTTTCTAAATTCATCAAGAATTCAGTAACCTACACAACAAATAAAAAAGATCAAACTAAAGACAATGGAAACAAACAAACCAAAAATACAAGTAAAGAGGAAATAATACTTAGGTTGTCTCCCAAAAAGTGCTTGGTTATAGTCCTTAGCTAGACTTTTTCAAATTATCAAGGTGGATTCCATTCATTTTGATTAGACACACCATGGCATTTGCAAGGCTTCCAGAACAAATTTGTTCATCTTCTTGTGTAGTCTCATACTTTACTCATTTTTTATTTCTTCCCTTTGCTTCTTTAAGAACCTTGAGT